TTTCTGAGTCCTTATTGTTAATGTTCTATTCTCTGATTCTCCACTAGATGTCAGCAGGATATAATTTAGGATATAATCTTGACAGTTTTTTAGTTCCTAGACTTGTCCAGACTGTAGTATTTTAAATCAAATTTTAGTATATCTCTTTCCTCCTTAATATTAATTTGCTGCTTCCATCTGTAAGGGAGTGTGGATATAGTCCCCTCCCTTCATTTCCAGAGGTTTTCTTGCTTTGGGGATTTTTCTCAAGGGTTCAATTAGTAGATAGAAGAAAGAAGATCAGTACCTCACCAATTCCAAGCATGCTGTTCACTGATGTTCAGGTTCATGCTCTGGGACTTTGGCTGCAAGTAGCTTGCGCTACACGCTGATCTCATACTAGCCTTTCTCCTGTCAGAGGGCTTCCCCTGGATCAAATGAAACGATTGCCTTTGCTTTGTGATCAACGGGGTGCCCCTCCTTCACAGTCACCTCTTCAGGGCGACTTTGGACCTATCTAGGGTCCTCCTGGCAGGACGAAACTAGCTGTGGAGAACGGAGATCCATTTTTGCGCAGCTATGCGCTACAGGTGCAGCCATGTGCTATGGGTGCCCCATGTGCTATGGGGCCAAATTCAGTAATTTGTGTAAATGAGTTGAATATTTGGTACTCATTTTGTGACCTCTTAATTCACGTCATATTGGTCCAAGAAATTAAATGACTCAATTTTGCCCTGCAGACTAGCATTTAGATACTGCATATATAATATTTGTGCCAGAAAGCTAAAAGCTGCAACATAGACTTCGGTTTGCCAGGCAGCCGCCATGGACAGCTGGGAGGCTTTTTCTCCCTCCCCTATTCAGTTTCACATCACTGGGGGGCTCTGAAAAGGGCTGAAAGTCACCCCGAAGAGGCGACCAGCAAGGAGGGGCTATTGCTGGAGCACGGGAGAGCATCAACTCTCCCGTTGGACCAGGCGATCCCTCCAAATCGGCGGATGAAAGGACTGGCCATAGAAATATGGCTCGTCCCTAGGCTGCAGACAGCTGAAGTGGCAACTTCAAAGCAGCATGGAAAGGACTGGGTGAGATCTACTTCTCTTAAATCCTAATTGCTTTTTTGTACCTATTCAAGCTGCTAATGTACTTTCCCCTCTGTGGAGAGGGAAGGGGGATTTTAACCCTCCCTCCAGAAACAACGGTGATTGAATACACGGGAACTTTTTTTTTTTTTTTGAAAATGTTGAAAAAATAATTGGATCCCAATTGGAACTTTATTTCCTAAAGCTTGTGGATTAAAAGATTTTGGATTATTTACTTTTTACATTTTATTTTCATTCGAAAGTCTGGGTTTTTCCTCTTAAAATAACCCCCCCTGAAAGGATTACAATAACTTTGAGATTTAAAGGAATTCCTTAAACAGTGGGGTGACATCTTGTGGCTAAACCTGAAATTGCAATTTATTATTCTTAAAGAAAAGAGACTTGGCTGACAATTTAGAAAAAAAGATAAGATTCATGTAGTAATCTTGAACACCAGTTGTGAAAGTTTTAACTCTGTTTCTTATTTACTGGGGGAAAAAACTGTGAAAGTTTTCAATTCAACCCATCACTATGGAAGACCAGGAACAGACCTTTCCTATGGAAGAAATGCAAAAACAAATTTTTGCTATGTTGAAAATAACTTACCAAACTCTTCTTAAAGCTAGCGATGAAATAAGAGCTTTTGGGAAAAAAACCCAGAAAGTGTCTTAGATATGCAAACTCAAAGTTTGACTATAACTAAAAACCTGTCTATACAGAATACAACAGAAAAAAATCAAACAATTAAATATTATGACAGAAGACCTAACTGCCTAACAAGTACAGACAATAGAAAATTCAGAAAAAAATCTGACAACATGAATGGAGGAAAAAACCTGCTATATAAATCAGAAGGAATTTGAAGATCAAGAAGAGAAACAGATGGAAGAAAAGATAACAGTTCAGGACAACTACGTCAAGAGGAGAAAATAAAGAGACGATCCTGTAGTCCTGCCAGACCCTTCAGCCTTCCAAAAATGGCAACAGAATGGTCATTTCAATATGACATAATATATATAATAATACAAGAAATCTTTGAGGATCCTGAAGCAAGGACATCGAAAATGTTTTGGCAAAGAAAAAAAGCCAGAATAAGACTGAAAAAGAATGGTGGACATATTTAGGAGGTTTAAAATAGAATATACTTAAGTAGACAAGACCCGTATTTTGAATGCAAGATATTGTTATGATGCGAAGATAAAGAAAAATGTTGGCTAATTAAAACCTAGATGCATAAATATCAACAGTTAAATTGAAATATTGAGTTGTTTATAAAGGTTAGATAAAGGTGATTAAGACATGTATATATTAAGAGTGATGTAACGTAATTAACATGTTTTGATGTAGTGATAAGAAAAATTATAAGCTTAAATATGAGAAAGTGGACATAAGGAAGAATGCTGAAATGGGAGAAATTTTGGTTATTGAATCTATGATATTTGGAAATTATAACAAAAATAAGAATATTATATTATATTGCTAATCTGTTGACGTAGAAGTGAGATAGATATATATCCGGAACACTAGATGTTGGGGGGAATTGTGACAAAGGGAATTGGAGTCATTTAAAAATTTGGAAATGATAAATATTAAACATTTAATTTAAATATCAACGCAAAATTAAAGCTGGGAAAATTCATAAGGTTATTGATGGTCCAAAAGATGGAATGTTAAAATAAATAAGACATATAAAATTATTGATAAATGTAAGAAAGCTATTAAGTAGCTGATGGGAAGAATAAGAAGTATACTAATTTAAACAAGAGACAGTATGTATTAAGGGAAAAAAGAGAGGAAATATTGGCTGTAATAGTTGGAGATTTGTATTAATAATACTTGTATGTAATGGAATTATTGTAACTCAGACACCACGTTGCTTTTCAAAGATATAATTGTAACATTGGAAAATTAATAAAAAGTTTAAAAATAAATAAATAAAAGCTACAACACAATTCTCCAAGATGTTGCAGCTTAATCACATTATTAGATGCCTTCACTTTCCTGGTTTGTGTTTTTTTATTTTCCTATGTGTCAAGCCTCATACATCCTTTAAATAAAGACTTGCAGAGGACTCCCGGTTTTGTGCCGTAGCGCCCGGTCGCGGGATCACGGACCTCCGCACCCCGCAGCTAGTTTGGCCCTGCCAGGGGACCCTAAATGGGTCTAAGTCACCCCAGAGAGGCGGCAAAGAAAGAAGGGTGCCCCGACATCTCTGGAACGATGGCGTTCTGGAACAATTTTGCATTAGTCAGCATGTTAGCACTATACTGTTACAAAGAGGCTAAAGCAAATATGCCCTCAGTGTGGTGTCTCTTAGGGTTCTAGGAAACTAAATAGATTCTGCAAGTTTGAAGGGAAGAAAAGATATGAGTTATGTGTGTTAGTAATGAGCTTGCCAACTTCTGGATTATAGTTCTACCATTTTGATATTTTTAATGAGGATTGAATAATTATATGTATGTTGAATAGTTTAATAGGTACCACTTTAGTGGAAGATAACAGCGTTCCATATGCCTTTGGCATATAGCCATGCTGGCCACATGACCATGGAAATTGTCTTCGGACAACAACGCTAGGTCCCTCAGCCAAGAAACAGAGTTGAGCACTGTGCCCTAGAGTCAGATACGACTGACAGGGAAACCTTTACCTTTAGTTCATCAGTGTTTAAATCCTTGGTTGATTCTTCAATTTCAGCAAATCAAATTAAAATGACACTTCTTTTAAACCAGTGGTTCTCAACCTTTTTAAAGCTGTGACCCCCAACCGGTCGTAAGTCGAGGACTACTCAACCAGTTGTAAGTCGAGGACTACTCAACTGGTGCAGCACCATTTGCAGAATGGGACTTTTGGCGGGCTCAGCAGGGCAGAGACAGCCTGGACAATTCCTATTGGCTTTTGAAAGCCAATAGAATTAGACTCTATTCAAGATAGTCTATTCTATTGGCTTTCAAAAGCCAATAGAATAAAAGGGAGTAGCACAGCAAAGGAAAAGGGGAAAAAAAGGGTGGACTGCGTTGTTTGGCGACCCCCGTGAAATGGTCGTTCGACCCCAAATGGGGTCCCGACCCACAGGTTGAGAACCACTGTTTTAAACTCTGTTTTGGGGTTAACAGGGAAAAAAAAGTAAGTATTGAGACCAAACTTCTTAAAGTGTTGAAGTTCTGTTTCTCTGTCCTAGATTTCAAACATGAATATAACACAAAATATGATGAATGGCTCTTTTCTCAAGCCATCAACTGTCAATTATAAGGTTAATGTAATATTACAGACCAGGTGCATGTTTTTCTAAATCCTGATCTAAATAGTAAATTCCTCTTACCTGTTGTGATAAGGTTACTTCACTTCTTTAAAAATAGTCAGTGATGAAATATTTAAAATCCTTGATAATTCAGTGATTTTTTTTAAATCAAGGAATCACGTGATTTGGCAGTGAAGGAATACATGTAGGCAGTTAAAAACTAGTATTTTACAAAACAGACAACTGAAAAACAAAGTATATAATCTGCATGTGAGAATAATTTTAAATGAGACTATTTTTTTCATTATGTGAGTATATGTAATCTAAACTTTGCAATATTCTCCTGATAAATTTATTTTCTAGGTGGAAGGTGTTTTGTTTTACAGATTCTGATCTCTGAATTCTTTCAAAGCAAAGAATAGCCTTTACAACTTGGTGTTTCCTTTTTTGATTTGAACTATTTTTCCCACCTCAAGTCAACTTGGTCATAGGCAGAAATTACAAGGATTAAATTACAAAACATCCAGAGGAAAGTAAATTGGAATAGACTGGGGAATCAGCTTAGAACTTGGGCAGAGAATTTTATGCCCAAATTTTGATTTATTGATAATGGAATAAAGCACCATTTCTAAAAACAAGTAGACATAATGGCCATTCCCTAAAAACTTTTCTCTTTTTCCTTTCCATGGGTTATTTTTCAGGTAAGAGTTTATGATCTTCTCCAGTATGAGCATGGATCAGATGATGTCCTCATCTTAGCTACCGATGGACTATGGGATGTACTATTAAATGAAGAAGTAGCGGAAGCCATCACTAATTTTCTGCCAAACTGTGACCCTGATGATCCACACAGGCATGTAACCTCTCTTCTGTAAAGCTGTCTTTGAAATTGTCTTGCTTTTTCCTGAGGATAACATTGAGGGTATTTTGTTATAAGATGATTAGCTTATCACATAGAACAAAAAGCATTTTCAGCAAAGTTTTCATACTATATTTCACAAGAGGCTAATTTTAGTTCTACAATTTTAAAGTGAATACAAATAGATACAAATAAAAAAATTGATTGTAAACAGAAATGTGATAGAAGCAGTTCAGTTTGCACCAAAGCAAATTTTTCTGATTTCTGAATTCTGAAAAGTTAGACAATGAAATAAAAGGTTTATTCCTGTCTGCACATGCTTACAATTAAGATATGCACTTTTATGAAATATAGATTTAGGAAGTTCAGCTATTGCTTATAAGCTAACCAAAGCTGTTCTATGCCCTGTAGGGAAGAAGATCAATTTTAAAACACATTTAAGCTGATATGTTTTCTCAGTGCTTTTTTTGTAAAAAAAAAAAAAAAGTGCCGGAACTCACACATGTCATACAACCCACCTTACCTACCCTACAAGGTTCCATCCAAAAAAGGTGCCAAAACTCCATTCTGAGCGTTTATGACAAAAAAAGCCCTGTGTTTTCTGTCTCTGATATTCACTCACTTTTTTTGTGCTATAAAGACAAAGATAAATGCTTCCATATAGCAGTGACTGATGGACTGATTGTATGGTCATATTCTGAAAAATGCAAGCAGACAGAAATCCTAGAATATTACCCAAGACTGAAGTTCCCTCCCCCAGATACAGAGTAACAAGTTGTAATTCCCATCCCAGACTGTCATAAATCACATTCACCAATTATTCCAAAACGCAGGCTCTCCCCCAACTTCTCAACCCGCCAAAACTTTATCTAACATGGACCTTGAGTTCATACACATCTGCAATTGTTATGGCTAACTGAAAACGCTTGAGCATTCCCCTCATCCCCCCTTCTACATCTAAATATCTCAAACAGCAGAAAAAGCACAATAAAAGCAAAAGGTAAAAAGATTACAGTTTCTTAATTGTCACAACGTTGACATCCGGCCTTCCTTAACAGAAAGCAGAGTCCTGCAAATCAAACAAAAGCACAGGTTAAGGATTTCTCCTCGGTTTGTTCGGATGTTTGTCATAAAATTTACAAATAAGTCTATCAGCTTTTATATCAGTACATTTAACCCAAGTAGCTTCTGATAAGGGGTAGCCTCTCCACTGCACCAAATATTGTAGTTTCCCCTTATATAATCTAGAATCGAGAATACGTTTCACTTCACTTCACTTCTTCTCAGCCACCACAAGGGGCCCAGGTGCTTTCTTGGGAGGAGGTCTTAAAGTTGATTCCCTGAAAGGTTTCAATAAGCTGCAGTGAAATACAGGGTGAATCTTCCCTAAAAGTTGAGGGAGTTTAGTTCTACAGTAACAGGGTTCAAAATTCGCACTATGGGGAAAGGACCCAGGTACTTTGGTCCCAATTTTTTACTAGGCAATTTGAGTCTTAAATACTTTGTGGACAGATAATCCTTTCCCCGAACATGAAATGATATCTAGGGAGTTCTTTTTTTATCAGCTTGTTTCTTATACCTTTCTGAGGCTTTCTTTAATGCTTTTTTGGTGTTGTCTCACACTTCCTTCCAAGCTGATACCCATTGATCTAAAGTTTGAGAAGCAGGGGGATCTTGGGGGTATTCAGGTATTGGAATGAATTCCTCCCCAGTAGTGATTTTAAAAGGCGTGAAACTAGTGCTACTGTGGACACTGGGTTTTTTTAATACAAGTTTTATTGAGTTTTTCAGTTTTTACAACAAGTGCTTAGGAAACAGCGTGGTGATGGGGTAATCAATTATCCAAAAACCAAGGCATTTGTATATAGCTCAGGTTAACTCGTTAAAAATTCCCTCTCTAATTCCCTCAAATAATATACCATATTCAGATTAATATATTTCTAGTGAAATTCAATCAATCAATAAAATTATCAATAACAATTTAACTATGCAAATCCCAATCCTGTATTTAAGCTTTACAAAATTCCAGTTACCATATTTCAATTTAGCTGTAAATGGACATATTATTTATACTTCGGGTATCCCTAATTTCCCTCTTTTCATAACATAATAATTATAATATCTAAAAATGAACATATTATTCCCAAAATTACATTCTTATATTTCCTAAACATATTCTATTCTTATTCTACTAGCTCCTCATTTACTAATACCATGTCTTCCATTTTCCTATTCTCATTCCATTACAAACTAATTATCATACATAAGATAAACATATGGGATAGTCGATTGAAGTCTGGAGGTCAGTTTGTAAATTTAGAGTAGGGTCTCTGATTTTTATTTCTGTAGTAATCTCTTTTATTTTGGCACATACTTGCTCAGTGGCTTCATGAATTGTTTCCAGTACAAGTTTATAGTTAAGTTGTAAATAGGGTTTCTCCATTTCAATAATAGTTAGAAGCAGTCCTTTTATCTTTTAATGGAGGCTATATTTAATAACAGTTAGCCAATGTCCACCCCCACAGTTTCTAGCAGCTGTTTCAACTTCTTTACCTTTTCCCTTTTATGATGATTTGAAGGTCAAAACCAACCTCAGCAAGAGAAAGCTTGTTGCAATTTTAAATTTCACCACAAGGTGTCCTCAGTAGATTATACAATCTTTTCCCAGACACCAATAAAATAACATTAAAAAAATAGGAAAAATAATATTCTCCACATATAGACTAGATCAGGTAGTAGAGTTCAGTAATAGGAGTTATTTAGGGACCCCAGAGTAGATACAAGTAAAAGTAGTCATTGAAGTTAGTTATTCTCTCCTTATATTCAAAGCTTCTCTTCCCACACAGACAGACGCCACTCTCTCAAAGCAGGGAAATAATTCCAGGGAGGCTTTTTACAGGAAAAAAAATAGGGTAAACAGAGGAAAGGAAGGGTCTCATCCAGATCATCCATGGTGGTTCTTTAAGCTTAGATGTTCTTGTGCCTTTCGACTGGTGCAGCTGTGTGATCGGCCATCTTACTGGCTGATCTTTGCTCAGTCGGCCCTAAGGAGTAACTCGAGCTGTGGGAGGAGCTACCACCCTCCTGGAGTCGACGAGAAGCTTCCTCATCGATGGTCGCCCTGGAGGGGCGACTTTCAACCCTTTTCAGGTCTACCGGCGAAGAAGAACCGGCCAGCGAAGAGACGACTCTCTTTGCATGACCATTAACGCCGTGAACCGGAAGTCTGTGGACTGTGTTGTTGTAAGCCACTTCAGTGAAAGGAAAGAGGTCAGTCCAGTTCATCTGTTAGTAATCTACATAGCATCTAAGATTTTGCTCCACCATCACGTTCGCTTTTTCAGCCGCCCCATTCATAGACGGATGAAAAGCCGATGAGAATCCTTGGGTCGAGCCAATTATTTTTAGAAAATTTCTCCAGAATTTGGCTGTAAATTGCACCCCCTTGTCAGAGATCACACGCTTTGGTGTGCTGTGTAGTCTGTAAATATGTTTAAGGAACATCTTAGCCAGGTTCTGGGCTGACAGGAAGCCAGACCAGGCGATGAAATGAACCTGCTTTGAAAAAAGATCAATCACAGTCCATATTATGGTATTTCCTCTGCTTTCAGGTAACTTGCCGATAAAGTCCATAGCGATCTCTTCCCACAGTTGGGAAGGGTCTGCAACAGGCTGTAATAGTCCTGGGGGCTTCCCTGGAATTCTCTTCATGGTGGCACATACAGCGCAGCTTTTGACATAGTTCTCCACATCTTTCTTCAAGCCTGGCCACCAAAATTGCCTCCGAATTAAATGCAGTGTTTTCAAGTAACCAAAGCGACCAGCCTGTTTGACATCATGGCTGCGCTGGAGCGCTTGGAGCCTGAGTGATTCAGGCAGATATAATTTTCCCCCTTTGTAAGCCAACCCATCTCTATGTGTAAGGATGGTTTGATTGCCCTTAACCTATTGATCATTAATCAGTTCTTGTTTCAACTTCTTTGTTGTAGGATCGCCAGGGTTAGGAATCTTAGCAGATTGGGGGTTTGTGGATTTATTTGAGAGATAACCTGTGGTGCGGACATAATAGAGTCTATGATTTGTTTCTGCTGGCTTTTGTACTGGGGCAATCTGGATAGGGCATCAGCCAGAAAATTCTTCCCACCTGGTATGTATTTTAGGGTAAAATTAAAATGATTAAAATATTGTGCCCAAAGTACTTGTTTGGGAGTTTCCAATGCTTCTAAGTTTTTGTGATCAGTCCATACTTCAATAAGCACCTTGCTCCCCTCTAGGTAATGATGCCACGTCAACAAAGCCCATTGAATAGCAAAGGCTTCTTTCTCCCAAACAGCCCATCTTCACTCAGTGTCAGTGTCAGTGAACTTTTTTGAAGTGTAAGCACAGGGTTGTAAAATCCCATCACAATTTCTCTGCAAAAGTACTGCTCCTACAGCCATATCGCTGGCATCGGCTTGAATAACAAATGGTTCCTCTGGGTAGGGGTGCTTTAAGACTAGTTCAACAGCAGATAGTGTTTTTAAATTCTGAAAAGTGGTTTGGCATTCCATAGTCCATTGTAGTGGCTGACCAGGTGGTGGTTTCCCCCCATTTTTGCCAGTTTTTAACAGTTCTGTCAGGGATAAAGCAATCTCAGCAAATGATGGGATGAATTGACAGTAGAAATTGGTAAACCCCAGGAAGCTTTGTAGCTGTTTTCGAGTTTTGGAAGGCTGCCATTCAATTACAGCTTTCACTTTAACTGGATCCATCTCAATGCCCTCATTGGAAATTCTATAGCCCAAATAATCCAAAAGTGTCTGATGAAATCCACACTTTGACAGTTTGATGTAGAGTTTAGCACTTAACAGATTTTTCAATACCTCTCGCATTAAACATACATGGTCTGCCATAGTCTCGGTATAGATTAAGATGTCATCAAGATACAGCAAAACACCTTTGTACAAATGATCGCGTAGCACCTGGTTGATCAGCTGCATGAACACAGCAGGAGC